CAGGAATGGCATTCCTATCATCAAAGGAGGAACGGTTGTGAAATTAATCGAAAGGTTAACGTACCATATGTATGCAGGTACTCTGTACATTTGTGGTATATATGGGGTTTTTTAAGGTTGTGTGTATGGGTGATGAAATTAATCCTTTTATCTTTTGCTTGGGTTTTTTCCTGTGTGTAGTTAAATGTAAAGCAAGATTTGCAGAAAAAAAACCCCAAACCAATATCTGTTACTAAATCAACTGGCTTTGCTGGCAAAGCTGTAAGAAAATTTTGGGTATGCAAGCCCTGTTCCCCCTCAGAAAAAAGTATCAGTGGTCTAATAGGAGCCACCAGTGCGTTTTTCCTGAGACCATCGTGGCTAAAGCAGTGGTGCAGTTACGAGGAAGAAGAAGGTTGGAGGTCATGTTTATTATACTTCAACCTGCTGCCTTGTGAAGTGCCTCAGTAGGGAAGGATGCAAATCACAATTGGCATTCTTCAGACTTTCCTGTGAAGCACTATCGTAAAGGCACAGAAATGAAACCTTGAGGTAGTCGCATGAAGTGCTGATGTTGATGAAAACGTTAGATCTTCGGTTTGGGGTGAAAAGCACGCACTGAAGGGGGATGCAGCGAAGCTGACGTAAGGATGCCAGTGGAAGTGGTGTGCAGTTTTTGTAAAAATCCTCGAATAATAATGGCCTCCTTTGTGCTTTTTACAAAACTGCCGGGTATTTAACCGAGTCTTTTTTGTAAAACTAAGGCTAGATAGTGTGGAGCTGTGTACTAAAAAAAAAAAAATAAAATTAAAAAAATAGGATTCCCCACACTGCAGCTCAGTATTGATGCAACTAGTTGGTAGGCAGCAATCTGTAGGTGTGTTGTCTGTGAGTCCTGGGTCATCCGTTTCTAAAATGTGATGGGTTTCGGTTGACTTGTGAACTCGGCTCTTTTCCTGAGTGAGCTGGTGTATTTGAGTATTGGTTTGCTAGCGTAACTTCAGTTTTATAGTGCAAGTACTTGCCACTTTGGCCTTGGGAATCTTCAGTGAAAGCTTTGCCTCCTGGGTTTCTGCGTGCTTTTTCCAAACAGCGTTTGGAGCCAAGACTAACAAAATGCTCTCCCTCAGCCTCCACAAGGGCATTTCGGTGACTAGCAGCGTGTGGTGGGACTCTCGGCAGATCCTGGTGATGCTTTGTAAACTCTCAGTTTATTGTAGGTTTGCATTTAGTTTCGGATTTTGCTGCAGTGCTCAGGCTCTGCCTTTGCAAATGGCCTCTGTCACGTCAAAGACTTCCCCAGTTGATACCTGGATACCCCGGGAGGTAGCAGATGCAGAGTTAATAAACTCTTGAATTTAAGTCGTGAGCCACTGTTCGTAGCACATTGCTTGTACTTTCTATTTTCTTGAGAATGTAATTTACAAAAATAAGTACTTTTTAAAAGAATATAAAAGGAACCTACACAGGTTAGAGAGCAGAGTAGCAGCCCCCGTTTTAAGAGAATTGCAGATCTTGTCTGCAGAGCAGAGATTCTACCTGCCTGTTCAGTGGGAAGGGGAAGAATTACTTTTAAAATGTCATAAATAGTATTGAAGAGTGAACGTAGACATGATGTGGAAGCAGAACAGGCCAGCGCAGGACGGGGGTGCAAACTCAGCAGCGTTATCACAGCATGAGAGCACTTTCAGCTTGCAAGCACGTTCCTACATATGGATCCCTTAAAAATGTTGAGCAGTGTTCTGCAGGGAATTTAAGCCTTCTTAAAAGCAGTGTCTATCCTAATCTTTTATGGGCTTATGGGAAGAAATTCACTGCCCACATGTTGAAGTCTGCTGGTGTAAGCTACCTGCACCTAATGCTGACGGGTTCAAGACTATTTATGGAACAGCAAGAAAAAAAAAAAACCCTCCCAACACCCCCAAACCTGCAATTCTGAGGAGCATGTACACATCCACTTCTCTAGGCCTGGTTTTCCTGTATTTTGGCATTCGTTTGCTCCCAGGCAGCTCTGGATGCTGCTGCATCCCGCACAGCAGCAGGGCAGAGCAGCTTTTACCTGTGTCAGGGGGTCTGCTGCAGGGATGTCAGGATTGGGACCAGATGCTGACCCTGCATGGCCCACGACGAAGTGATTTGTTAATCAGCTCGCTTATTCACAATCTAAGGAACTCTGTACAAGAGAGTGGAACTGAAAGAGATGAAAGGAACAATATTTTTCCTTTAATACTTCTAATACAGCAGAGCGGGCCCAATAAAACGCGTGGTAGCTCGCGACTGGGCACGTCTCATGGTAACACACCTACCCTAGCGGTGAGAAACAGCAGGAGGGAGGTGCGGTGGCTTGTGGAGGTGCAGCGTCCCAAACTCCAGCAGGTATTTGCTTTGCAAGGCCTCTGCTGCTGCTCACGTTTTTCCCTGCTGGCTGCTCCGCAGAGGGTGGTTGTGCACCGCGCTGGTGCGGCCGGGGCAGGCGTGCGGTCCCCACTGCTGGAGAGATTTTAAGAAGAGGTAAGACAAACGTTTTGTCAGGGTGGTGTTAGGTGTTTTTTGATGTCAAGAGAGTAGGCAGCCTTGTTCTGCCGTGTTTTCTTTGTCTTTATGAAACCATGGAATAGCTGCACGTTCAGGGAGCGTAAGCTGTTCCGCGTGCCAAGACTGAGACACAGTTTTTGAGAGAACATAGTTATGTGCAGTTGAATACTTTTACAGGGGAAATGCATTAAAGAACTACACGAAAATGTCACAAGCAGAATCATTTCTGGTGTTTTTCAAATGACAATGCTTAACTTACAACCTTAGGGTATTTTCTGCACTTTAAACTTTTTCTGTGAGTATATGTGTATTTTATTTCTGATATTTTGCAGCTGGATAAAAAAAAAAACCCACTCCATCATTTTCTTATTCTGTGTTTACAGATCCTAATTTTGTACGTACTTTCCTTACCACATACCGCTCCTTTTGCAAGCCCCAGGAACTGCTGAGTTTACTGATTGAAAGGTAAGCAGTGGTCATGCTTTCTGAAGCCATTGAAAGGCTTTGGTGTTCATTTACCTGCTCCTTTCCTGCTTGGGTTCTCGGCGCCATGTGGCAGACGTTTTAGTGATGCTCATGAAACGGGATACAGCGATGGACGTTTTTAACACGAGCTTCCTTTTCCCAGTTTGTTAAAGTAGTTGCCTGAATTAAGTGGTAGCTAGAGCGCTTGGTGTGCCTCCCCGGTGGGGTGGTGATGGTTTGAACTCCTTAACTTGATCACGAAAGTGTATTTGAGTATGCCCAAGTCTCGATGCAAAGAAGAACGGAAATGTTCTGAGCAGTTTGTTTGAAAGGCACGGACTCTTAATGTAAACAGCATTTTAATACGGTGTGATAAAGCCGCTCTTAAGCTTTCTTCTAATCTTCACTTAATCAAGCTAGCAGGTAGTTAAAAACCTTATATCCTAGTCTAGACGTCTTGTGATGACCAGAGAACTAGTGAATTAGCAGGGCGAGAGCTGGGTGTGTGAGTACATAGCCAGGGGAGGAGGGAATTCCAGGCAAACTGGATATTAGATGACTGCTTGCGTTTCAGCACACTGAATTTTTTTTAAATGCAATTGCTCTCTTCATGTTCTACATAAAGGGTTTGTGGTTTATCTTAATTGCCATCGGTTTTTTGGTACTTTTATTCATAGGTTTGAAATCCCAGAGCCGGAGCCTACTGAAGCAGACAGGCTGGCAATTGAGAAAGGAGAGCAACCTATCAGCGCAGACCTTAAGCGATTTCGCAAGGAATATGTCCAGCCAGTACAACTCAGGTTTATTTGCTTTTAAATTTGTTCTGTTAAAGCCAGGTTTTAGTTCACTGATTATATGGTGATCCTGGAGACAGTAATCTCTTCTGGAGACTGCTGTGCTGTCAAGTGGGGACTTATCACTGTCTGCAACCAGACTAATATCCCAAATCATGTTCTGATTAGTCATACTGACTTCTGTTGTTGTTGCAACTGTACTTTGGTTCTCTGCCGCTCACAGCTGTGATCACCACCCACAAGAACGCTGTATGGCTGCTATGTAAAGCGGGTGTGGGTGAGAGATGTACAACTGAAAGTGTTTCTGACTGCGTTTTGAATGGATCCCTTGTCGACAGGCCCTATGAAGATCGTTTTCTCCGTTTCCACTTTTTTTCAGTCCTGCTGGTATTTTGCTCCCTTTCCCAGCCCTGTTGATGTATTTGCATGCAGACAGGGAGACTCTTGTCTGTACTGCACATGGCAACAGGCTGCAGGGAATCTTCAAGGTCTTGCTGACCAAGCTAATTGGGGGACGATTAAGCATTTCTGGCATGAATGAGGCTAATTGTTTCCCTGATAGGGGATCAAGTCAGGAGACACAGATCACAACCAATATTTGCTAGACCAAATTCTATTCCTTAAACTGTTTTCATTAGTAGCATCAAGGTGTTACTATTAATGGCAGATAACTGTATGCACAGTACCCTCAGTGACTGCCTTACCACACGCAGTCATTCATGGTATGGTTACCTGTCTGGAGCAACAGCAGCTTACTCAAAGTGAAGGGTCATACCAACATGCCAGTATCACAGAATCATAGAATGTTTTGGGTTGGAAGGGACCCCTAGAGGTCATCTAGTCCAACCCCCCTGCAGTGAGCAGGGACACCGCTAACTAGATCAGGTTGCTCACAGCCCTGTCCAACCTGGCCTTCAAGGTAGGTGTTCAGAAGGTCACTTAGGAGCCCCATTTACATCAAATACCTGTGTGCATATATATAAAATAATATAAATAGGTATGTCATATTGTAGTGTTGGTCAATACATAGCTGCTGCCACCTTCTTGGATGTAGTCCGAGTTATACAACCTCAGCGTAACCTTCATACTTGTGTGTGCTCGTGGCCTTGTACGGTTTTGTCAGGCCCTTGGTGCTCTCAGTTATCAGCTCCTGT